TGGGGATCATTTATATTTTCTACACTTTTTGCTTATTTCTGTATGTTTTCCTTTGAATTCTAGTCAGATGATTGATTGGATAACTCCACTTTTTAATTTTTTGTATCCCATGACGGAGGTACTTCATAAAATCTTGGCCAATGTGGTTAGAGATCACATTGGCCGTGAACCACATTATGCTGATTTCAGAGGCTACAAAATACCACAAAAATCTTTGAAAATCACCAAGAAACATTGAATGCCACAGTGATTTTGAAATAAAAAAAAATAAAATAAAATAAAATATTTTAATAATTTCAAATGACCTTTTCATTCCTCCATAAACAAAGGTATGTATTAGGTAAAGCAGTGGGCTGTAACATTAAAAGTAAAGGTAAAAGATAGCCTCATAACGCATGGGAATAAGTAAAGCTGGGAGCGTCCTGATGGTTAGGGCTGAGAGATCCAGCCTCACAACAGTGTCGTGGTCAATACTGGACATCAGAAGCTGGTCACCTACATGTGTCCCCTGTCCAGCAAATGACACTCTTTCAGTGCGGTGGATCTGAAGGCAAGGAAGAATAACACATCAAAAATATATTTAATGGAAGTACAGCATATCTCTGCTTAGCTGACTCTCTTCAAGAAATTAGATCAGTCCTAAGAATCTTTACCTTCCCCCATTTTTTTGATTTGACATGGAATGATGTCACCACATTGCTCGAGTTGTTCCCACCAATCACAAGCAGCTCATCAGTCGCGCCCAGGAAGTACAGAGTAGGAAGGTCTACATCAGCTCTTGTTAAGGTGGGAAGCAGTTCAGACCAAGAGTCTAGGAGATAAGGGCAGCATAGATGTCAGACAACTCATATGAACTGTGGATGTGTACCATGCATAAGCAATGGGATTTTGCAAATAACATACAGAGCAGTTAGAAGAGGACAAGCATAATGTAGAAGAGTTTTGCTTTTATTTCATGCACCTTGCTTTGTGTTGTACTGCAACAGTAATTTCTCTCCTGTCCTCTGGATGCTCCCCAGCACATAGATACATTCTCCCAGGCTGGTAGTGAGGGGGACATCATGGGATAATGACACAGTGAACTGGAAGTCAGTGAGTGGTAATGGAGAAACGAACCTAAGGCAGAAATTATGCACATGAATCATGGGCATAATTTTGAGATATTTAGTCAGTATTTGATTCTGTATGTGTAAATACTCAGTCTGTGTGGACAGAAAATCTGCATCAAATTCAAAACTACACTAAATTTCCGTCTTAAAAATCTTGTGAAATTATCTGTCATATGTGGCAGTGAAGGTAGTGATAAAAGTGAGCTTGTGTCTGGAACATCACACATTCCTGCCAGCTGCTTCAAAAGAGTCCAAACCTCCATGTATCCTCCCATGGATCGTATCGCTCCACTGCTGTGTACAGAGCTGTACTGGAGTCTGGAGTCACCAGAGAATCCAAATACCAGCCTCCAAACGCGTAAATAAAGCCTTCACAGACCACTGCACTGAAGTGCCTTCTGTGCTGTAAAACAGAAAATGCTGATAATTGGTTTAATTCTCAAAAAATAAAGGAAAAAATTGTAACTTACACAAAATAACCAGTCATATTATTGCTCTCAAAGCGTTTTATACCTTTATCAGAGGTGATGCAGCCACCCATGAATTGTTAAAGGGATTATACCTAAAGGAAGCCATAGTGAACTCCCAGCCTTTCTTCCTCTGCTGCCTGTAGCCTCCTATGACATACAGGTAGTTATACAGTACTACTACAGTAAAACACCACTTATCGGCCCTTAAGGGAAGCTTTGTGACTGAGTGCCAGTCCTCACTGTCCTCTGAACATTTCATGGTGAAAATGTTCCGGGCACGTTCTGTCTCCGGGTCGTTCCAGGAAGTCAGGTTTTCTTTCCTGAGGCTGCACAGGCACAGTTCTCCTTTTGCTCTCAGACTGATGACTTCCTCCCTCTCCTCATCGTGCAGACTCCTGATATATGAATCTGTCTCAGTTATTTCAGAGGTTTCACTAAACCAGTGGATTATAACTTCACATACCCTATCACGTGTGGCAGCTCCAGAAGGTTCCGGCTCAAATAAGTGAACACTGTGTTTTTCAGCTCTGGACAGAAGATTTCCTGAGCAAGGCTCAAGTATGATAAACAGTTAGATGGATTGAGTTCATGTGCCAGGGCTAACAGGCACCTCGAGACGAAGGCTTCAGCCAGAAGATAGCTGCCCACCTGCGGAGCGAAAAAGATGAGACAGTGACTGGATTTAGCCTTACACAACCTAATATTGACCCAGAAGGCTCCGTATTTGACGGGATACCTGAATGTGTACTCCCAGTTCTTCTTGGGGAACATTAAAATCATGATTGAAGCAGAACTCAAGGAGATTGTGGAAAATGGAGGAGGACACGTGATCCAGATGAATGTGGCTCTCTGAGGTTTCTCTCATGCTGGACTGGGACAAAGCTCTGAAGTACTCACTGCACTCTGAAAGCTTTGGGAGGTCCACCTTTGTGAAATTAATGATTAATGACTAACTGCACGCGTTTGGAAACTTATAAACTTAGATGTACTCACATGAAAGGCATGTGTGCTAGTTTGGATTGTAACCTTGGCTCCATTTTTGTCTCCTAGGTGATATGTGCGGAGGGTCTCATTGGTTTCCCACTCTGAGTCTGCTTGATATAATCTTATAGGAGGGATTTGGGTGGATGCTATCCAGTTGTTTACAACTGAATTAGCACCCAACAGCCTTTTAATTCCTCGTTTCAACCACAGGATCAAGCATTCGATGAGCATTATGAAACACTTTCTGATTGCATTAATCATACTGAGAGTGTTCTATTCATCTAAAGTTTAAGAAATTGATTCAGTGATAAAATGCAGCTTCAAAAAAATAATTCAAGCATCCAGAACTATTAACTCAGTTTAGCGTGTCCAAAAAAAACCCACAGTCCAATGGGAGGGCAAAACACAATGCATGGTGGTCGTCAGCTTGATTTCTCCCAAAGAGAACACCAAAGTCGTAAAAGTATTCAAGAGCATATACACGAACAGAATAAGCACAGATACAACAAATCCTCTGGAGCAAATCTTTTCATTCTTTTGTGCATCAAAATGTTACCAGAAAGTCCCTCGATCTTTGAGCAGAGCGGTCCGTTTTGGCTGGTCTATTTTTAGATCTTGTAGGTGGAGCAAGTGTCAGCTCAGTGGAATTAAATGAGGGAGTCAGACTGCTCTCATGCCGTCACTGGGGTCTCAAAGTGCTGGTGGATTTCAATAAATTAGAAATTTCACAAATTCATTTAAAGGGACCTGTATATGCATTGATATACATTCCAGCACATTATATTTATACTAGTTTATTTGTATTAAAAATTATAGCTTGCAACTAATTAAACCAAAAGCCAATTTTTTTCTGACTCCTTTAATATTTCATAAGAACAAAACAAAGTGTAATATAAAAATGTCCTGTTATTGCTACAAGACTAAGCAGAAAATTGCTGATAATTACATTACAGAAGAAAGTAAGGCTAAGCCATATTAGGTCATTAGTAGAACAATTGACAGCTTTACTTAATCTGTTAAGTTGAAAAGCTGCGTAAGGAGTATGAAGTATGTTTTAACTGCAGCATTGAAACATCTGCAAGGCAAAGCATACTTAAAAGCTTTGAAGGCATATGGTGTGGACTGCAGCTGATCCAAGTATTTCATGAAGTCCGACTTGTATCCAGGACTGTTTCATAAAAGAGATTGAATTGTACTTTCTAGCTGGACTTTGAAGAGGGATACGAAAACCAGCAGAGCTGACAATGCAGGCGAGTCGAGCCACCAGGTTTCTTGACTACGGCAATAGCTTAATTGTCTCTGTGCCAGATAGTATTAATGCAATTGATCATGCAGAAAGTTATGACAAACTATTGAGTGTGCATACTGTAAAATAGATGAACATATTTTTCACCAGGACCACAATTATGCATTAATAAAAAAAAATGTCTTGTTTATGCAATATTAACATTTTCTAAGAGCCTGAATTTACATTAGCTGTAAGCTATAATTAGTAACAGCAGCAAAGAAATATTAAACTATGTAAAGAAACTATATACCAGTTTCAATTTAATCACATTTTTAAATGAATGATTTCCTAATTTGTAAAACTTAATATGTATTTTGCAATTTAATGTAAGATTGCCCTCATGGTGATCAAAAAACAAAACTCAAAGACAAGCAGCCATTTGGATTCTGAGGACAAGTTTAATAAGTTTAGGATTTTTCTTGTTCGTGGGGGAAAAAAAAAAAATCAAAACTTATGAAAGTAGTTATAGAATGATACAGTTACAGAAAAAAATTTTTGGTTGAAAATGGAGACCCTTTTTTACAAAAATTGCATCACATTAAATGTATTCAAGCATCTTGTTAGTTTAAATAAATAACATCTTTGTAGAGACAATATAAAAGTCTCTAGACCAGGTAAAAACCATCTTTTACAATCAAATAATATAAAACCTTAACATTTCAGTGCTTGTTTTTCAACTAACTAATCATTACAGTCATGAATGTGAGAATGAGTATGAATATTGTACATGAGTAGACAGAAAGGGTGAAATGGTGATTCAGAAGCAATCAGTTACTAATTGGTAAAAGTGTTGGGGCAAAAAAAAAAAAAAAACAAGTAAAAATTCAAAAATAACATTTAATAAAACCTATGATTACTTTCATGGTTACATGAACAGTATACTTTACTACTGTGATACAGTGTGTGCAATATGAGTATGATTTCAATTTTATGCAGTTCTGAAAAATATCTGGAGAAAAAAAAAAGTACTTTCAAAAATGATATGGAGCATGTAAGTCTCAAGAAAATCAGTTTTCATACAAATGGATGGAATTAATCATATTCACTATTAGAAGTTAAAAAAAAGTATAAATATATATATATATATATATATATATATATATATATATATATATATATATATATATATATATATATATATATCTCCTAACGTGACGTGAACATCAAAACAACTGAGGTAGAATAAAAAAGAAACCCAAAACATTAATGGGCTACAAACAAGCGTTCTAATCTAGGCTCATTTACCAAATTTTAAAGTCCAATGTGAAGACAATAATTCTCTGGCAAGACAAAAGATTAAACGTGCATGAATGTCACAAAGTGGTCCAAAACTGGTTAACTTAGAGTTAAATAGCCAAAAATATACTGAGTGGATATCAACTCAGAACTCTTCATATAAAAGTGTTAAACAAGTTGAATGTGTGCATTTTCTCAAAACGTCTTTTTACATTTTTTCTTTTACGCTCACAAATTATAATCAGACAAATACAAGATAACATACAAAAATTCTTGCATAGGTATTAGCGGAGCTGGAGAGGTGGTGAACACAGAAAAGGACAGTACATTCTGATTTCCAGGAGGAATTTAGGAGAAGAGCTTTTTCTGCTTGAAGTAGGCATCAAAACGGCTCTGAGCATAATCCTGAAAAAACAAACAAAAAAAAAAAGATTAGTAAAACTGTTATTAAATGTCAAAAAAAATCACTTGAACTTCATAACAGTAACCACACAATGTAAAATGTTTGATGTCAATGGAGAAAGAAAACACTAACCATATATCCAAACTCAATCTTGGATAACTTGGCCTGAATGATGGACCACAGTCCCCAGAGGAAATGCGATGCTAATGCGTATCTACAGTAAATAAAAAAAACAAACAAACAGAAAAGCATGTTTATCAGTGTGCAGATTCTTCAGAAAGTTGAATAAAAGAATATCCTTGCTGCAGCAAAGCATTTCTCAAAGGTTCACCTGTTTGCTTCAATTATCATATCCTCTTCAATTTTTGTCTGATCCAGGTCACTCTTAGTATGTCGATTTTGCTCAGCCAAATAACTTCTGATGAAGTGAAGCTGAAAGGATAGAGAAAAAAAAGGTTTGGTTTTGCTTAAAAAAAATCTACAAGAAATCATTTGTCGTTAGCACACTGACTGAATTTTACTGAAACGCTGCCCTCATTTATTTGAATCTCTCATCAAACTCTATTCATTACCACATTTTTACAGCTAGATGTCACTACACAACAAGCACAGTATCTACTGTGAATTTAAATGTGTAAAGTGTAGCATATCTTCCAAGTTTAAAATGACCTATTACAGTGATCAGTGATAAAAAAAAACATTCATTTGCTTAGTAGTCAAATTGTTGCTGAAGGTTAAAAAAAAAAGAGTTTTGAAGCTCAAATTCAAATACAAAAATTCTTTATTGATCCCAAATGGAAATTTAATAGTTCGAAAGAGAAATTAAATTAAGTTACATAATTGTTTGGCCATATTAACTGAAAAATTCTGAGAGGAAAAACAAAACAAACAAAAAAATGAAAATTTGTAACATCGTCTGTGAATTTTTTTCTTTTTTTTTTTAATATCACCCACCATTAAGTTAAACCCTGTTTTACACTCATTAGTATATAGAACATCAGACATCATCTCTAATTTACATGATAAATTAACCATTATTTTTGACTGACCTGCTGCTCTCTGGTCGGATAGTCCTCGGGTGTAACTTTGTAAAACGGCCACTCATTCCACGTGTAATCATACATCCACTCGCAGAAATGGTTCCCAAAGTCAAAACCCCTTCAGAAAGAAAAACTTATCACGTCAGCATTGTTACATACGAGTCCAAAATAGATATTTCTAGACAAAAGGGCTTCTTTAGAGCTTACTCAACCCAAGACTTGTGTTTCCAATGAATTTATAATTGAAGTGCTCATTTCACCTGTAATTGTAACTGCTATATTCAAAGTCAATAAGCATCAGTTTTTCTGTCGCTGTGTGATCCCTGTCCTCCAGGATAAGGATGTTTCCTGCAAGAGTCAAACAATCAATATACACAGTTCAAGAAAACACATTCTGATTTAGCTGACATCAAGTTTAATATTAATATTACAATCAGGCTTGAAAGTGTGACTGGAGAAAAAACATTAATGTCTGGAAAACGTCCATAGAAAGAATAGTTATGTTTTTACCTTCTTGGACATCATTATGACAAAACACCACTGGTGATGGAGTCACTGCCAGCAAAGAACTGTTAATGAAGCAGCCAGAGAACCAGAAAAGACAATAGACACATTAAATCATCAGTGTTGCATATGCAGATACTGCCACAAAATTAAACTCAAAGATTTAGAAAATGGACACAAGGCAAATGCTATTAACAAGGAATTGGCACCGACGTCAATATCGGCTCAGTATTAGTCATTTTTTTAACACATCAACATAGATGGAATGAGTAAAATTACGCAGATAATAAGAACCGGTATTTATTTCCATCTTTTCCATCTTAATGCTGTTTGTTTCTGGAGCGGGAGGAGGAGACGTTGGTCATGTGACAGTGATGCAGTGCAGGATTGTGGGGCGTTTAACTGAAGCAGAGAAGCAATGGTGAAGTCAGCAGTGTGAAATAAATATATATACATGTATAAAATATTGGTAAACATCTGTATCAGCCATAACATGGGACATCAATTTTGCCTCAAAATTGATGTTCTTGTAGCATTTATGCTACAATACTGTTATAAAAAAAATACACTTTTGAAGTGGAGAGTATTTTTTTGTTTTCTTTTTTTTTTACTGTTTTTTATCAAACACGTTATAAAATCTGATGTACTTTTAGTTAAAGTTGCATAATTCATTCACACCACTGACTTGAAAAATAAAAGCCAATACTAAAATATTATGAACACAAAGAAAAGCTAGAGGAAAAACAAAACGTTCCCTAAAGTCTCCTGTACAAGTGTCAAAAGACTTATGAAATAAATCCATCCGAGATAAGATTAAGAACAGCTGACGGAGCAGATTTAAATAGGTTACAATAAATCTAGTACTAATCCTGCTTCAATAAAAGATGCATAGATATCTACAAGATAACATTTGTTTTCACATCAACAAAAAACAGATTAACAGTGGCCTGATCCTGCTTTGGTTCGGACTTTTGAACTATGAGGAGAAATCAGAAGTGAAGTCGTGGAAACAGAGGTTCAAAGGTCATTAACTGGTCTGAGAACAAACAACATTAAGACTTGTGTTTTCCGCACAAAGAAGTGTTATTGTAGAGCCTTCCTCCCACCAGCTGTTACTTTGTATCCAGAAAGCTAAGTATAAACATCTCTCCTCTCACTTGTAGATTTTTCAGTTTCTTGTTAATAGTTTGCTGCTGTTTCTCACACACAAATATACACTCATGTTGTACATGTTTCAAATTATCCTATTCCACAACATTTCTTTCATTCTGAATATGCTTTTTGTAATATATAGCTTTTTTGCTGTAAAATTTCCCTTACTGTAAAGTTTTTTTTGTCTCATTTTCTGTTTTCATATTTCCATCTTGGTGTGAATCTGCTTGCTTCAGCTGATCTGCCACTTTGCTACTGCAACACCCGAATTTCCCCTTTGGGACAAAATAAAGCAAATTTCTATTTCTAATAATGAAGTAACTTTATTACATCTTTAATTTCTGTGCATTAAATGTCTTGCTGTGCATCATTCATCTTAAACAAGCTCAAGCTTCTGATGTGTCCACACACAGCTGGTGAGCAGGATGTGAATGTATGAATCTTTCACTACTGTAGGAATCAGTTTTTTATTACTGATAGATGTGAGAAATTGTGAAGGAGACAAGTCACTGTACCCCTTACTCTCCAATACAAATGTGAATGAATTAATAAGAACCAGAAGTGTAAAGATACATGCATTTATAGTCTGGATAAGACTGTATTGTTATGTCACATAAGTGAATAAAAGGAACCAGTCAATCATCAAAAGATTGGAATCAGTCCATTTACTTTTGATTGGTGGTCCAATTCTACATTTTATTAAGCTTAAAGTGCCAAGAGATTATGTGCTGTGAATAGGTGCTATGTAAATAATCTTAATTGAAATGAATTACTTTTGCAATTGGAACTTTTTTTCCCCTGCTTTTGGCTCATGAGTGCAAGTCGATGCCACATTTGTTTAAAAATAGGATAAGAAGCAATTATTTTGCTCTGCTTCGCTGTGCTACCTACTATAACTATTGATGTAGCCGACTTGATAAAGGGTAAGCTTTACTTAAAGAGCATTACATGTGTGCGTCAGTCTGTATGCAGGGACAATTTTCTTCAGTAAAAATGACTGAATGAGTTTTATAAGGATCTATATTGTCTTAAAAGAACATACCGCTAAACATTTTTGCTAAAACTTTAAGCTAATACCATTTGACCAGACTCACCGGAGACTCTTGAGCTCAGCAGGCAGATCAAACTGCATCAGTTTATTGTACTTTTTCACATGTGTTTCCCGCACAAAATGAATCTTCATCACTTCATCCATGTATCTTGAAAAACAGCAGAGAGGACAACAAACCCATGTAAATATAATGCATTAACTGTCCAGAAAGAAAGTGGGACTGTATCTTGTTCTTACTTGTCAATGGTCCCGAACAGCCACTTGGGCTCTTTGTTAAAGGGCATAACCATGCCATGAAAGCGTGCCAGTTTGGTGGCAATCTCAGACGAAACGACCGGGTCGGAGAGCTGTTCTGTGAGCATGCGGGTGTTCTAGGATAAGACAGAGAGACTCAGAAAATAACTAACAATCAAACAGATATCATCCAGAGTATCAGAGAAAGCATTTGGACTAAAAACATTCCGTACCGGTAAGTATTGCTCCAAACGTCCCTCTGGAAAGATACCATAAAGCTTTGGCCCCAAAGTTCGCTCTGCTAAAATAGCAAACATCACACTTTCCAGAACCAGAGAATCCACACCCTGAGTGGAGAAAAACAAAACAAAAAAAAAACCTAGTGATTAAGATATGTTTGTTTTATTCTTACAAAGCAGGAACTAGTGCAAAAACAAATATTAGCAGTGAGGCTGATTCACGGTCAAACACAGAGACTTGATGACCTCTACTAAGTCTACCAACCTGCAAGATGGCACCGTAGACTCTCAGCAGCACCTGCCGGGGTTCTTCCCCCAAACATGGGACGTGGTCAGGCAAGCTACACAGGTACAGTAGATTACTCAGTCCACCACTAAGAAAACAATAACAATATTTACATTAGAGGTTACATAATTTGCTGCACATAATGTACATAACGATTGTCAAAAGTCTGCCTGACAAAAACGCTTCTTGATATGTTGAATATGCCTTTCTCCACAGGGCAGAGCATGCTGAGAAAATGCAACAAAGAGAAATAAAAAAAGAAGCTTAACTCCTCTGGAGCAGGGGCTAGTTACAGACTAACATATTTTAGAGTGTGAATGAGAGAAATTCTATAAACCCCAGTCCTGATGCATGAATTCTCCCTGCAACTGATATCTTTTTCCCAGCAAGGTATGTTCTCTCCTAGTGATGGGAAGCTTGGCTCTTTTCATAAAGCCAGTTCTTTTGGACGCTTTTGAGCATGACCCATCACTAATCTCTCTTACCTGAAAGGAAGACCCTGAATCACTGTCCCTGCTGCAGGCCTCTGGTCTGTCTCCTCCCTGACTTTTCTCTCTCTACTGTGGCAATAAAGATTTCTTTTAAATTTGTGGATACAATAGTGAGCACAACTTCTGTACAGAAATGAGAGGATTGAGTTTATTCCTAGGATTAACTACCCAGCAGGGGATGTAACCTCAGTAACATGAGTATTCTTGTTAACTAGAATACTAATGCTAGTTTAACAAGCTGATTAGCTATCATGTCAAGTTAGCATGGATTAACTAGTCATGAATTTGCAATAATTGTCTACATTGAATACTATTAATAACCTTACACAGTTTGTTTGGGGGGGGAGGGGGACTGTGCAAAGGCTTTTGCCTTTTGTTGACTCTGTCTGGTTAGCTGACACACACTCCTCTCAGCAGCAGGTTTCCTATGGCTGATTCACGATGACACAGTGCTAGCCCCTAGCAGCTAGGTCCTAGCTACACTGTATGTGTTTCTGCCTGGCTCAGCTATGGAATGGACTGCACAGTGATTACCCATAATATCAGAGAGACCATTTAAACTGCATCAGCAGGGCAGCACACACTACTGCAAGGTGCTGCACCGCCATCTGGTAAGGTCAGATCCAAACCTGTATTATGTATGGTCATTGTGCATTCGTGTTAACAACAAATTAAACAGTGCTAGTGGGTAAAAAATGCAGAGGGCACATATATGGGAAGTGCGGTGATGTGCCATGTAACATCACCTGTTCAGCATGTCTGCACACAGTGGCCAGAACAGGGACACTGGGCCCTGTAATGGCCTTTGTAGAACCGTCCATGCTGTTGGCTCAATGCAGTAAAAGACGAATGGTGGGATAGTTAAAGTCCATAAACAGAATGTTCTTACTCAAAAACCCTGCTAAATTAAAACAATTGGCATAGAAGAGTTATCCAAAAGTTCTCCACAGCGATACAAAGAGAACATCACCAGGTTAGCGCCAACACCTGGAGGCACTTGTTATTCCTAAGTGTAGAAACCAAACCCATTGTCTCCACTGTTCCTTTTTACTAAAGGCTCAAAGAGGCATTGCGGCACGATGACACTGCTGCTTGGTTCAACATTGGATGTGGAAAGAAATCAAATTATTAAACAAAATACAAAAGAAGTTAGGAATACCGCGTTCCCTTCAATTTGGTAAATATTACAAAAATGCTCCAACTAATTTATCCCACCTGCTTATGCAGATAGCTGTCAATAATTACCTGACAATACTAATTTGAAAATCCGCTTCTTGAACAGCCTTCCACGATCCAGACAAAAAGTCCCTGCACCACAGAAACGCTCTGCTTTTTGTGTCTCGGTCGACCTCTTCGCTTCTCCCGTCCCGAAAAGACTCAGCTTCTGAGTCGTCATCTACCTGAGGACTCGGGCTCCTCAGGTGTCTCTGGCTGACCAAAAGCGAGGTCACCACTCCCTTCCTCTCCGCCGAAGCACAGACGCCTTCCGAGGAGAGGGTGTGGCTGGAAATGTCGCCGCTGCGGAGCCCCCGTCCCGTTTTCTCCGCTATGTCCAAGACTTTGGCGCCGGAGCTACCATGGGTCGCATTTCGACCAGACTGCATCGTGAGTTTGCGGGTCAGGAGTGAATGAACACCGCGGTAAAATGTCGGCCTGGTGAGGCAGCGCAATGGGCTCGCTGACGCACACCGTTCACTAGTGAAGCTGCTCAACCGAAAGAACCAAGCATAGCTGGATGTCCGAAACCGCATGGATCGAGCTGGGCGGCTTTAAATATGATGTATTCTAATGACTTTTTATTACCCTTGCATGCGTAGCAAGCAGCAATATCTGTAACCGAAACTGAGTAATCAAACATCCAATCACATTTCAAAGAGAATCTTGCGATTGTTTTCATTGGTTAGTGAGCTAATACGTAACGCATCCGTCACTAGACCCGTTAGGTCTCTCGCTTCCTGAAGGCTTTTTGGGCAGTGTAGTCCTTTCCGACACTCGAAGTGAAACAAGGAAGCAGCGTGATGTCTCGATCCGTAAATGCAGACTCAATATGTACCGCCAGTGCTTCACGCCGTACGTAATAAACATTGGCTGGGTGAAGCTGGTTTATGTCGTGTTAGACAAAGACAGAGCGAGAAGATAAAATGTTTTATCAAACGTTAGAAGTGACAGTGGAAGGCACCTGTTTTTATCTGCACTGACAGATGTACTTACTAAAATTGAAATAAATAAATACATTTGCAGTTTAACCAGGTAAGTAAGCTCAATGAGTGTGTACACAATGACATATCATTTTAAAAAGAGGGTTTTTTTACATTCATCCACTCCAAAAATCACATTAAATAGCTATAGGCTATCATTGTTGTAGGTTAAACACAAACCTGTCTTTATTAGGGTTAAACATGGACATTGGGTTCTCCTTTTTATTAAAAAACCAAGCAAGTTAATTTTATTTTGTTGGTCAAAAGTCTCAAGATAATAAATCAACGAGTACTTTCTGTCTTGCAATCAAATCTGGACTTTGATAGAAAATAAAATAAAACAATGCTCAGCATTTTTAAGAAAATGTAGTACCTTAATCTTTCAGATGCAAACAATCCTGTTATGTTTTTTTTTTTTTTTTTTTTTTGCATCCCTGGTTACCTGTGGTTGCAGCTTCTGGCAGAACTCTGTCTTTACTGCTTTTTTTTTTTTTTAAATCTTGCACAGAAATTGCTTTAATCTTCCATTTTGTTGAGAAAAACTAAGAGATTGTAAAACTGTGAACAAGCAAATCTTTATGAAAAGCTTAAATATGAAGGTTCATTTCTAATAACTTTGTTGTTTAAAAAGATTTTATGAATAATTATTTTGTTGTCTGAATCAAATGCAGACAACATAGTAAGCAGTATAGTGTTTATTTGAAACTCAGTTGATTTTTATCAGAAATTGGACATGACAATAAAAAATGTTCCGATGTCATTACTGAGCAATTGGTGTAGTGAAGATAACTTCCTTACTGCTAACAGTGATCTCTTCTTTCTAGCTCTCTTTCTGCACAGAAAAAAAAAACTTTAAGTCAAATAATAGTTGATTAAAATAACTTTATATTGTACACAGTCATTTTAACCACAGTTAAAATTGGGAGAGGCAAATCCCACACAATGCCTGTACTTGAAAATATAGTGAACTGCTTACTTTACCTGCTGCAACGTGGCTCACAGTTATTTGTTGCAGAAGGATGGCACACAGCAGCATCACAGTGAATATATACCTGGAGGACAAAAGTAGGCTGTTTTATTTACTGATACATGTGTGAGTGAATTTAACATAGTGATAATATCTTTTCATGGAGTGGAGTACATCTTTCTTTCTGGAATCAGATGCACTACCATCACTCACAAAAGTGAACATCTTGAAAACAAAGTCTAGTGGCTTGGAAACGGCAGTGCAGTTGAGGCATCTGGGATGAGATGTCAGGTAGTTGTCATCACAGTAGGGGCAGCTGTAACAAGAGAAAAGAGAAGAATAATGTTGAAAATGTATAACAAAGCTTTCTTAAAACTCAAGCCTGTCACCATTTTACCCATCAACAAGCAAATCCCACTGGGGAAGACTTTGAGGGAAAGGGCTAGTAGTTATCCAGCATCTTCCAAGAGTCAAAACAATGTTTGGATCAGTTCTCTCTAGGATTCGGACCGCAACATAAACTGCATCTCTGAGAACCTTTGTGACAGAGTTGTCTGCATCTGAAAGTAAAAGCTTTTTTTTCCAGAGACAGGCAGATAGATAGGAGTGTGTGCGTATGTGTGCAGAAGCATGTGTGTGTGTAGGTGTGTGTGTGTGTATGTAAAAAAAAGAAAGGAAAAAAAGAGACATATATTGTTGTGTTACAATACAGAATGAGTTGGTAGTTTGTTACTAAAACCAATTATTTGTAACTGGCCTTACTTGTTTTTATTGTTCTTAACTATTATTATAAAGACAAATACAGAACAATAAATATCACAATAAAATGTCAGCTTTTGTTATTTTCTCTACTCTTTCCATAGTTCCCTAATGTCATTTTTTTCCTTTATATAACCATTGCCTCATGGTAGCTCTAGTACTTTGAAGGCAGAAGCAACACTTTTTGACACTGATTTGAAGGTTATTGATTCCCTTCAACAAAATTTGATTTGGCAATGCACTTTGGTCTGTTTGCTCAGGGCAGGAATACCTAATGCTGGGTCACAATGACTTTTTCTGACCTGTTTTTAAATTCAGTTTGCCAATGTTTCTATGTTTGTTGTTCAATCCAGGAGAATGTGCTTCATAAAAATAATGACCTTATGCTCAGTGTATTCATTTTACTGCCATATCTCTTGCCTAATCTACTGTCAGTTTCAGGGGCAGTTGTATGAGTAAGAGATGACACAATTTAAGTGGTCAAGAGCCATCTCTGTAGCTAAGTTGAGGCAGGGACATGTGATGGGGGCAGGTTAGAAGGCGGGATTGTAATACAAGTAAACAGATTCAACCTATTATAAAAGCAGGTGCAGCATCTGGTGAACTCCTCAGATCGCTTGTTGTGAAGCCATGATCATGAAATTAATTGCTGTTTGCGTTGTGGTGCTGGTCTCTTTTGGCAGCTTCTGTGATGCAAAACCTGTTAAACCTCCCAGACCGCCACCCCTGCAACACCAACAGCAATTGCAGATATTTGAGAAAGAGCTCACCTGGAAATACCCTGATGATCCCCAGCCTGACCCCACGCCTAATGTGCCATCAGACCCGAAATATCCAGTAACGGTTCCTGCTGCAGCCGTTGCTGTTGAGTGCAGAGAATCCATAGCTCACGTGGAGGCCAAGAAGGACTTGTTTGGCATTGGACAGCCCATCAATCCAAATGACCTCATCTTGGGTAACTGTCCACCTACTGGAGAAGACCCTGTCGCTCAAGTGCTGATTTATGAAGTTGAACTGCATAAATGTGGAAGCCAGCTAACTGTAAGAAACATTTTTTTTTTCTGGAAAAAAAAACTATAGATGTTTATTAGGATTTTGTAAGATATGTTCTGTTTGATTGCTAATTGTTTTAATGAATGCTTTTTCTAGACGACAGATGATGCCCTCATCTATACCTACTCTCTTAACTATAGCCCTTCAAATTTGGGTATTAGTCCAATTCTAAGACCCACCCAAGCTGTGATTGTGGAATGCCACTACCCAAGGTGGGTAGAGCAAAGTCAAAGAGTTTGGTAACATACAACCTCTAAAGAAAACTCAGAGATTACTAAAGGCTTAATTCCTATTATAATTTTTGCAAGGGGCACATTGGTCTGAGAACAATAGTTGAATTCTACATTTTAATTAAATTATTTTCCCCTTCAGGAAGCACAACGTGAGCAGCCTTCCTCTTGAACCTCTGTGGGTCCCTTATGCTGCAGTTAAGATGGCTGAGGAGTTCCTGTATTTCACTATGAAACTTATGACTGGTGAGCTTGACAAAAATGAACACAACTATTTTAGCTGTGCAAATTACAAAACAAAATACAAAGATAATTGTATGTCTAAAATTTGAGAAATTGTAGCACTTGTTGATGTGAGGTCACAGCATTTGTAAGAACCATCTCTTCCTTAAAAATCGAACTGTTAGCCAATAGTTTCCATAAATGCTATCTGCATAACAAATGCACATCATTTTGGCTGGTTTCTGCTGTCAAATGTCTACTAAGTTGTTTCCAGGCTACACTGCATGACTTCAAATGCATTTAAGATCATCACAGATTTTATTCTCATAAATCTGTGATATCTGAGAACAAATCTATTTCAGTCGATTTAAAAAATACTATCATTGCTAATCATTGCACAGATGACTGGCTCAATGAAAGGCCAAGCTACCAGTATTTCCTTGGAGACCTGATCCGAATAGAGGTTACCGTCAAGCAGTACTTGCATACACCCCTGCGTGTTTACGTGGACAGATGCGTGGCTACCATCTCACCTGATGCAACTTCCAGCCCCAATTATGCTTTCATTGATAACTTTGGGTAAAGTATCACTAACAGTTATCAGAATTTGTTCACAAGAGTAGCAAAGATAAATGTAGCACAGCAAACAAATTTGTTACATCCTCATTTGCTTTATTCTGCATGAATGCAGGTGTATGGTTGATGCCTGGATCACTGTCTGTGACTCAAGGTTCATGGCTCGCACTGAAGAGAATAAACTTCAGTTCCAGTTGGAGGCCTTCAGGTTCCAGAATCCTAATAGTGGATTGGTATGCATCACTCTAACCAAGATAAATTATATATTTTTATATTGTACCATTTAATGTTAACTGTAGTTCTCCTTTGATTTAACAGATCTACATTACCTGCCACTTGAAGGCAACATCTACTGCCCATCCCATAGACGGCCAGCACAGAGCTTGTTCCTACATTGGCGGGTGAGTATTGCACACTTAGTAAATGGACTAAAATAATATAGTGTTTTTCTATTCCTTTTGACCACTCTTACTACTTTATACTAGAGTAAATTTGCTCATTTGCACTCACCAATGCTCACGCATTCATTCACAAGCACATTAGGCCCCCCAATGTTAAGTGCCTTCCCCAGAGGCACATCAGCATGTCAGAGGAAGAAACTGGAATCAAACCTTCAACTTTTCAATTGCAAGGCAATTACTCTTTCTACTAATCTGCAGTCACTGACATTTCTGCCCCCAGATGGAGAGAGGCTAGTGGAAATGATCCAGCCTGTGCTTCTTGTGAGTCCGGTGATGTCGAGTGGTATGGCAGTCCAGGAATTTCATTTAGTAGCACAGGAGGACAACACACTCCTGGTGATCCAAACGTCTTTTATCATCTCCCATTTTCAAGGAAAAGAACTCGTGATGTGACCCAACCTGAACGTATGTGCTTTAGAACACTTTTTCTGAATGATATGGTTTTGTCTAAACAAACATTAGACAAAATGTTGCTACATATCTAATGGCTTTTTTACTTTTTTTGTTCAGTTTTGGAATGGGAAGGCGATGTCACTCTGGGTCCCATCCCCGTCATGGAGAAGAAACTCTGAAAACCAGAAGTGTCGTATAATTTGTCTCTGTAGCCTTGAACACCAAAATAAACAGTACAATTGGTTCACACAATAATTTAAAGTTATCGACCTCATTTTAATTTATCGGATTTATCGTTTCTTCCTGCTTTTGTTTTTTTTCCATTGCTGACACTGGATGAAAGAAGGCTCAAATCCACTGCTCACCACTAACACCTCTCTTCCTAATTCCTTAGTGTAATTTCCAATTCACACTACACAATTTTAGAATTGCCGGCTCATTTTCAAAACCTGAGAGACCACTAATTAACTGACAAAAAATCATAGGCATAACGGTTCAGATTTCAGGCAGAAATCTGAATGCCTGTGAAAGCCCATTACATCATACATGAATTAATATAAACAAACACAGCCTTATCATTATAACCTATTTATGTCAGGTTAAGAATGGACAGCTGAAAAGTTGCCGGGTTTATCAACTGCCGTACCAGTTTCGCTCCAACTCTTCTTCTTGTCATTTCTGTGGATATTCTTTGCAGGAATAAACATTAATGTTGTTTCCACATATCATCTCCAGCTGGACTTTGGGTTGTCAGCTGTTTGGGATTCCCCTCCATGTGTGAAAGCATGGAGGGGAATCCACACTTTCTAATTGGCTACCTGTCACATTCAACAGGCTGCATTCTCTCTCCCAGTGTGGGGAAACCCAACACGCTGCAGTGAAAAACTGGCCAAGACAATATAACATGTCGAATATGCCTGATTTAGATTTTCCACCGATTGGACCCGATCAGTAAGGAAAACACCAAACACCAAAGGATGGGTTACGATGCAATGTTCTTAGAAAGTTGGATGTTCTTAGATTGTCATGAGGGGAAATCGGGGAAAAGCAATTGTGTAGTGTGAACTGGGCTTTAGGGACAATGAACTATTGGATCAGGAAGCCGGATATGCCCGTCTTCTCTGTCTTGATCTATTGATTATTTAAGGGCAAGATAGTACACAGACTTTATAATCTGTATTATTTTGGTTGATTGTAGTTTTTATTTCCACTTTAATTTCATGTTTAGTTTTTATTCAAGTATATTTTTTGTCAATGGAGACTGCGAGTCAGTTTTTTGTTTATTTTAGTTTTCCAGTTCCAGTGTTTAGTGTTCTTGTGAAAATAAAGTGTATCTATTTTTGCAGGATATTGCATGCATTATAAAGTCATTGCATTACATAAATTTAACAGTCTCCAAACAGTATTATTTATCGCAATAATTTTTGAGACAATTAATCGTTCAGCAAAATTAGTTTTTGTGTTTATGTTATGCTCTTGCCTCATGTCAGCTGTTCTTGAATGTGTAACAACATCCCACTCAATGTTTTAAATCAACCTAAAATTTCAACAACTTACAAAAGAAATATTTACTTCATATTAACTTCTATGCAGTGCTATTGAGTCCAGTTTGGTCCATGTGTGTGGACCCAATGTGCCCAGCACAAAATCTGTGACTCTCCATTTCATGGAAAATAAGAATCGCAACTGTCTAAGATGCTTGTTTCATTTAATTTGTTCCTTCAAAACAGAAAACCTAATGTTCAATAAAAATAAATGAGGAATAAAATTGAATGGTGACATACTGCCCAACAAAAACCTAACTGAATAACTAATGGAATAATAAATAGATTCACAAACACTTTAAGATTTGAGCTTCCACCACCAAGAACTACTTTTCTCCAAGGGCCATCAAAGTAGTCTTGATGAACTACAGATCTAGTCTAGATAGATAGATAGATAGATAGATAGATAGATAGATAGATAGATAGATAGATAGATAGATAGATAGATAGATAGATAGATAGATAGATAGATAGATAGATAGATAGATAGATAGATAGATAGATAGATAGATAGATAGATAGATAGATAGATAGATAGATAGATAGATATTCATTAGCCACAGGGGAAATTCGTGTTCATGATCAAAAAAGTAAAATAGAAAAGTAATATTTTTTTATTTCAATTTTGAGTTTAGGTTCTCTGTTGAATGACACTCGAGAGCGCAATGAACGGGCTAATAGATATTTACTGACCTCGTGTGGCAGAAAATGTGTATTATATTTTGTGAGGTTCAGCACCACTTGCAATGAACAGCAAGCAACAAAAAAAGGCTTATTTGATTGTTCAATCAATACATTAATTGAGTTAATTAAAATAACTTATTAAATTATTAATTAATGCATAGATGAACATTTAAAAATCATCATTTATTTATTAATAAGTTAAAACATTCATTTGCAGCTTATTTATCTTGATTTATCTCAAAAAGCTAAATGGTTCAGTGTCTTATTCTGGTTATTATTTTGAAAACTAACATTTTTATTTGCTTTGAAAGAAATACAATAGTTTGTTCTATCTCTTTATAACTGCTTTGCTAAACAAAATATCCAGAACTTTATAAATTAATAATATTGTAGGAACACAGTGTATACATAGTTGTCTTGAGGTCTACACAAGGATATCACAAAGGACACTAAGTCACACCACTTTCGACACTTTGTAAAATAGATGAATAACAATTATGCACCATTAATTTTTTTTCTTCTTTCTGGCACCCAACATATCTTGAGTCAAACAATGGAAACGTTGGAGGGTTGTTACCATTGCAAGATGGTAACAACATGTAATGTCACAAACCATGTAATGTTTGTGAAGGATGCTGTCTTTAGTACTAAAAAAAAATAATAATAATAATCTGTTGTGCTTTAACACCACCGTCTCTAGACCTAATCGTCTTTCTTTATCAGGAGATGTAACTTTCAACGTTTGTCATGATACAAAAAGAAGAAGAAGGAAAGGGAAAACACAATCTCAGCTTAGGTTGTGTTGTGTACAGTTCGGGCTCAAAGCCTGCCCTCCTTCTGGGACAACCTGCTCACGCAGCAGCGACACTGACGTTATATTGTCTCTGCTCCTCCGCACCTCCTCTTCCTCGTCCTCTTCCTCCTCCTCCTCTTCCTCCTCCTCCTCCACCCTCCGCCTCTGCCCGTCTCCGCACTGCTGCCCCCCTCGCTGCTGCTGGGTGTCACAGGCAGCATCACAGGCAGCATCACGGCAGCAGACATTTGGCGAGCAAGTCGAGGACTGCGGTCAAACCAGCTGCGCGCTTCATGCCTCCCGTGGACATTTCGGGGAAACACGGGAAAATCCGCGGCGTTGCACGGCGCCTCTCAGGACCCACTTTTGGTTTTCTCCGGCTCGCCTCTGGTCCCAGTTGATGCTTCACTGCAGATTTGATGGTGCTGAGCAGGCTTGTCTGATTGTGAAGGCTTGCGGGCAGGCGGGCATTTGCGGGGCCGCGGAGAAAGACCCCGTCGTCCAGGTTTTCTGCGTCCCTCCTCTGCCCTGTGATTGTTCATGGACTGCCGCTGCGCCCCGTGATTTTCTGCAGTCTCTCTGAGTCATTTGTAGTAGAAGATGGCGGACAGGGCTGAGATGTTTTCTCTATCCACCTTCCATTCCCTCTCTCCGCCTGGCTGCAGGTAAGAGCTTTCACCAGGAGTGACAGCAGAGCGATGATGTGACGGGGTGATAAAAGGAGGGGGAGGAAATAACGAAACACAAGACGGTGTACAAGAATGTCACTTTTATGCAAATGACTGTAGCAAAACACGCATTTTAGGGTTGGTTAAAGACATTTGGAACAAGCTGCTGTGTAGGCCTGCTAGTGCTTCAGCCTCCTGACGCTGCTTCCCCAGCACCACTGAATAACTTCACGACTACTCTCTAATATTTACTCCAGTGGCACGTTTTATTCTAAAACCGAAGGTGTGAAACAAAGCTCAAAACAAAACCAATTGCAAAATGTTAGATTCTAAACTGTCGCGACAGTCCCCCGTTTGCGCATCCTCTGTGTGAGGCCCACGCCCTGTTGAGTCCAACCCGAGCAAGGGCATGATGCTGAACAATGATTTACGGAAGTCACTCTGATGATGATGCTGTTTTAAATGCATCCTGCCATGGTTTTATTTGGCCCTGCCTCAGCACAACAGGGAATAGGATGAGGTCTGTGACTTGCAGCAGTTTCAATGAAACAACTAAAGCGTTTTGTTTATGTTGAAAAGACACATATCTATGCTGTGCATGTTGTTGATCGGATGAATGGGAGCATGGGTGAGGTCCATATCAGATTTTCTTTCTTTTTTCTCACCACACAATCAAAACAGATTTCTGAGCAGTACAATTTACTAAGGATGTAACTAGTTTACATAGATTCATTTCTAAGCCTGCCTAGATCTCAAAAGTTCATAATGGCCATAATACAATAAAAAAATAAATACAGACCGACAAACCAAACTATACTGTAAAATGTCATTTGTTCTTTTCTCTTTATACTTAAAAACAATATGGAAACTCTCTGCATCAGAAAACATATTAAAATGTTGCATTTACAATGTAAATGAAATAAATAAATAGGTGGTGGGCCTGGAAGCTGCACTGCTCTGAAAAGGCCAGAGGACATGTCAAAGTAAGGTCCGTCTTGAATGACTACACAGATGAAGCTTTGAGGTCTTCTTTTTCACCTTAAACCTCTCAGGGCTGATTTTAGTTACAAATTAAAACAGTATTACAGAAAAATGAAAACTTTCTTCACCTTCTCTGTCTGCTGCTGCTGGTATCAGAATGAATTGTGGCAAGCTGGCTGATCCACACTGTCACATAATACCATTTCACATTACTTCAGAATAACTTCACACAATTTAAAAACTTTTGACCTCAAAATGCCCTTATTTAAACTAAGAGTTTCTTATATCTATGTGAAATTATTTATTCTATCAAAGTCAACCTTTTAATTTCATAATACATTCAAATGTTTACAGGCTTTATTTGAGTGTTAGCAAAAGCTTGAACAAAATCAAGTTTAACAATTTACAGTGCATATGCTTCTGTTTTTGTATTCTTAAATACTGTGTTGCTCATAAAGTTGGATCTCTTCTCATGAGATTTCTGTAACAATGGAAATACTTTTTCTAGATCAAGTGTTAGCGCAGCCTTAGCCTTCCTGTGCAATTCAGCTTGATCAAAATCTTGCTTCGCAGACAGTCTGGACT